TGATGTTGCTGTTTTGGTTATACTCACTTCACATTTTCAAGCTTTTCTTAAAACATATTTCTTTAAAAAATTAAATTGAAATACTGATGAAATCACAAGACTCCAGAGTCCATAGTACTCAGCAAAAGCCTGCAGTGGCTATATCTTAATCCAGCCCAGAATAAGGTGATGGGTAAGAGGATACTCTTCTGGCCAGTGAAAAAGCTGCCAGCAGTAAATGATAAATCAGCTTACCTGCCATTCTTTGGTGCATGAATTGGTTAGCTCTGCATTACCCGTAGTATGGGACAGGAAGAAGATTTCAGTCAACCTGTTATGGCTCTGGGGATGAGTACAAAAACACCCAAACAAATAAACAAACAAAAAAAATCACAAAACCACTTTATCAAAAAGAACTTTTTTCCCCTTTTCCCTTGCTTATTGCAATTATCTATCAGTAGTAGTCATAGCATTTAACAACTGCATCTGAGAGTACCATCCTTCATGTAAGTAAATTATAACACAATGCATCTTTTTAAAACAGTGGAAATATATCCTTTTGTAGGAACTCTGGGTTTTGCATTCGCTGGCAATGACAAATGTAGGTAGATGCACCTGGATGTAGTTGTCTGCCTTGATATAAAGCATGGGTGAATAAATAGAATAACTCTCACTATTATTCTTTGTTGTACAGAGTGTTCATTTTACTGGTTTTAACTAGAGCAAAAATCAAAAGTGCTGGATTGTGATCAGAGAAACTGACGAGTTCTTAGCATTTTGCTGATGCCTTGTAAATCACTGGAAATGTCCAATGACCAAATAGTTTCATATTTATTTTTCCAAGATTTTTCCTTTAAGCAATCTCATTCTAGAAAAACACAAATGCTGATCTCAATAAAAGAAATCCCCCCTTTTGTTCTGTCAAACATAACTGCCCAATAATTATACATTCATTCTCATGCTAGGAGGCAAGTGTATGAGTAAAGAACCTATGAGGTGCTTTTAGTAAATGATTTAATACTGAGGCTTTAATACTGAGGATGTCAAATGCACCAAACCCAGTGTGTTAGAGGAAGAAAGAGTCATTGAAGTACTGTCTGTATTCAATAATGCATAGAATTCAGCTGCCCCCACACATTATCATTTGACGGCTCTGTGACTTAAATATAAGCAAAGTTGTTTGTTTGGTGTGGAAAAAAGGAGAAGTAATGGATTTTTAATTGATAAAAATGCTGAAGTCATAATTAGGACAAAAAGAAAAGTAAAGGCACACCATCCTTTCTTTTCTCTTCTCCCCTCCTCTTGCTCCTCCCCACCCCCCCATTTCACTTAACTGCATAAATAAATTCTCTATAAGAGTCTTGAATGCAAACCATGGATCTTTAGCTGGGGAGGGGAAGTGAAAGTCACTGTTTTCCTCCACAGAAACTGCAGCTGTGACAAACATACAGCCTTAGTTATGACACATAGGGGTTATGGCTACCTCGTCAATCTTTCTTCTGCGTGCAGTTGCAGTGAAATGGAAGTGACACTAAAACAGCCTTACCCATTTCTGCCATAGTACTGTAACAGAAATGTTATGCACAGCCTTCCCTATGAATTTCCGTTGCAACATCTAAATTTTAGCGCAGTTTCTTTAAGCCTGAAGGATGGACCAGTATCATATCTTCCTCAGCGCTAATTCCTGTTCAGCTCCCACTGAATCTGATGAAAATTTTAACATGCACAAGGCAGGCAGCATTTGGCCTCCAGAGTGTTGTACAGCAAGACCTGCTGGCATTTCCTGTTTATTTCAAGCTCTGAGATGGAGTCTTGAAACACGTCTCAGCCTGCAAGTACTATACTTATTAAATGAAATATGCATACAAATTGCTGACAAACTCTCTTTGACTATTACCTTTTATAGAATATTCCTGTAATACAATTGGCTCATTTTCCCATAAAACAAAATTTGCAGAACTTAATTCTGTAGGATGGGCTGGGCCATTTTCCTAATTATAAACAAAACCCATACTAACCAATCCCACATCTGAGCTAGTGAAGATTAAAAACAACCACTGTGTAGTAGAGAAGAAGTAACTGTTTTTCATAGGATTTTTACTTCACATTTGGGATTATACTTTCATATTTTGCAAACATATTTTATAAATCCATAATGCAAAAAAGTGTACTATTGTTAATATGTATTTGCAGCCTAGCATGTAAAGTCTCCAAAAGAGCCATTTTGGTGTCTCCTCTCAACGTGTATTATGAATAATAAACAAAGCATGGCTAGACAGTCTGCATTATAGAGCAATGATACACAGGTACGTTGTTCTGAAGATTCACAGACAGCATGCAGCCTAATGGCCCAAATGGAGTTGTTCCCCCATGTATGCATGCTAAGAATATAGAAAAGCTGTCTAAGTCATTAATAGGGTTACTGTTAGGGAATTTGTATTTATAACTCACTCTGCATGATGGAAGTAAATTGTGAAACAAATACATCTTATTCTTAGCTTTGTATGCCACTCACTCCTGCAAGGGCAAGTGTTCTGGTGCCACAAAGAACTGTCATAGAAAATCTTAGAAAGGACCAGTACTGTACATGGTCCATTAGGGGGCTCCAAAAAAGCAACTGCAGTTTGAACAGTCTGTCAGCCGCAACAGAGCTGAAGATACTTTCAAAAGTGTCTTAAATGAAGACTCATTTGTAACTAAAGTTATTTACAGTGTGCTAAAAGAAATTCAATCTGCAGCCATCAGTGAACATGGTATTTTGTTGAAGAAGCCATGACACCATAGGATACAAATATTTGTTTCCCTAAAAATTATTAATAAAAAAATTAAGCGAACTACCAAGTATCCTATTTGTGTCTTACTATTGAACCCCCCAAAATGGTTAAAAATGACCTGTGACTAAGTGGCGTGCTCCTACTTCCATTGTTTTAATCTGTATCAGATGTATTGTGAATGTGCCTTTCCTCCTCTTCTTTGGTAGTCCACAAAGTGGTACCAGCTGGTTTCATTTTCTTGTGATATCCCAAAATATGTTTGTCTCTGATAACAGTGCTCACACGGAACCGCAGTTGGAGTTGGCTACATAACTATGCCATGTAATTTACAAAATACTACTTATGCAAACTCATCATGTACTGGCTCCATAGTGTTTTCTTGGTATTTGTGTTATCACAGAATCATGCCATCTGAGGTCTTACATTGGACTTGGCCATTGTAATTTTTGGGTAAACAAAGAGGTAAGGAGAATATAGTTTTTTGTTGTTTACATGATGAGTATTTAGCTAGGTTAGTGAGGGCCTTTTTTAGATTAAATGGTGTGAGCCTGTTTAATTTTCAGGTCAGATTTACAGGTAAAATTCTCATACTAAATAGAGCTCTATCATATCTGTTGTAGGAATCATGCCCATAGGCTGCTTACAGACATTAAAAAAACCACACCTTACCACCACTGTGCATTAGTTTGACCCGGATCCACAGCATCTGTATAGATCAGATGCTTGGTCGGGCTTTTTGGCACTTTTATCTGAAGCTGATTAAATAGTCTATTAGATAAAAACATCAAAAAAGCCCCACTAAACTGTACAAGTTACAAAGCCCTAATTCTCTTTGGATTTGTGTTGGTGGATTAAACATAGACTCAAACTATTACTATTCGAATGTACTCTTGTAATTGTTAATTAATGAAAATGGAATAACTATAAAGCCCTCTTTTTTCTATTGCAGAAAACATTTGTATAGGTAATTTCAGCAAACATTTGGAGAACTGGAAGTGATTTTTCTACCCATATGCTTCTTTATGAACATGTAATTTTTATCTATGCTTTACTCAGTTGAATATTTATAAGTCTGGTTGGCCTCAAAAGTGCCTGCTAAAAAAATTCAATTGCACCAGAATGCCTAAAGTAAGATTTATTCAGTTACCCTTTAGGTACTTTGCAAGTCATTTCCATTTTCTTCCTATAATTTTGCCCTTAGTAAAATCTTAAATTTTTCCAATTTGCTCTGTTATTTTAATTAGTCAATCCTTCCTTAGTTGTACAAATAAGCAGGCTTATAAGTTTGAAACTGTAAATCATTCATCCATTAAAAACTCTATTTCCTCATACTGCAAGTTCGATTCATTTAGAAAAGAAAAAACCTTGGCATGGAACAGAATTATGCAATGTCATGGACACATTAACATTTGGATCAAAATTTTACATTGTGTCAGCCAGTAAACAGTATAAATGGTTCAGATTTGCAATAAATAATTGTCTATTAATACTCTGGCATGGTGTAGCAAATTAAAGTTTCACTTCAGTAAGCACAGATGTAGGTGAGAGCTATGGCCTAAAGAAAGCAACTGCCATACCACATTAGAATAGAAAGCATCATGAAGCGTTACTGTATCTTTCTAGCAATGAGAATAATATCTACAAAGTTAAATAGCAGTACAGAAACATGGGAGGAGGTACGTTCTGGGTGTACCTAAATCCAAACAGTCAAGATTAAGAACCATTACATTTTAGATGCTCTGGCAAAGAGAAACACGTGGTATGGGATTAAGAAGATATTCACAGAATGGTGTGCTGTTGTATATAGACATGAACCAATATTTTAGGGACTCAGGACTGGTAGGGACCTCTTGGATTAGCAAACTGAGGCCCTTGCAGTTGTGGGTGATCACCCCAGATAATCCTGTACATAAACTTATTCCATTAAATTAACCCATTTTGCTGCTTGCAAATGGCCTTGATTTTCTAAAATTATTCTCTAGTTGAAATTTCCTTTCCCCGCCCCCCACTTATTTCTCTGACTTCTTGGGGTTTTTTGCAGTAGATTGTTTGTCAGCAGACGGTCTTGAGCATTCAGTATATGAAACAGGAAAGTAGGTATCTTATTGCAATATTCCATTTCTCCAAACATTCCTGCAAATAAACTAGTTCAATGTGGAAGGTGAGCACAAATCACAGCATGGCTATGCACCAAGCAAACTCATCTAAAAATGTAAATGAATATTAGTTTATATGTATTTATATTAATCACTGGCTTTTAGTTCAGACATTGAAGGTAGAAGTAGGTGTGTCCTTGTATAGTCATTTTTGTTTCACAGTTTTTGATTCCATTCTTTCGTATTAATCACTCTACTGAGGTGGCTTTACTCAATAAAGCTTGCTTTCTATTACATTAACTATACAGAGCACATTCTCCTTTTTCTATTGTTAGTAAATATTTTCCATAAACTTTTCAACTCAGAAGGTTCAGTATGTTGGACTAAAATTGTTTCACACTACTGCTTGGTAGGCCATATCTTTATT